TCTCTTCCATTTTGATTAGGAACTAATGTGTGGTCGGAACCAAAGTTTACAGGACTGCGTTCTCTGGGACCCTCTCAAGCGGAGGAATTCTACATTCTGATTGGTTGCCGCGCCGCTCCTCGCCGCTTTTCGCCGCCTTTCGCCGCCCGCTCACATTGAAAATGAATGTCTTCCGGTCACTTTGACGCTCTCGCCGCCTGCTAGGCACACCTGTGCAATAATCATGCTGTCTAATCAGCATCTTGATATGCCACACCTGTGAGGTGGATGGATTATCTCGGCAAAGGAGAAGTGCTCACTAACACAGATTTAGACAGATTTGTGAACAATATTTGAGAGAAATAGACATTTTGTGTAAATAGAAAAAGTCTTAGATCTTTGAGTTCAGCTCATGAAAAATGGGGGCAAAAACAAAAGTGTTGCATTTATAATTTTGTTCAGTGTATATATATGAATAAATATATAGAAAACATTTAAATCTTTACTTTAAATAAATAAATACATACATATATATATAATTTAGGAATCTAGAAAAGATCGTTATGATCTAAAATCTGACTGCATAATTGTCGTAACCATATGACTTATGCATGGTTCTTACATACAACTTAAATTTATAATCTTATTATTTTAAGATTTAGATGAATAATGGGAGGCAGACAAATTAAGATCAATATGAAAGCTAATATTTAGCTAGATTTGGGTGTTCAAAATGTGATGTCAATTTGCCTGAATTCTGAATCAAAATGGTTCTTTAGGGCCCCATTGCTAACAGGCCACTGGATAAACAGACCCATCGGAGGAGCTTCTATACCCCTGTGCATGTCAGACTCTATCGCCATCTGACACCGGATCATCGGCCCTGATACGCTGGGCCCCTGAGGGGATCATGGCGAGCTGGTGGATTGGATCCCAGGGGTGACCAAAATGAAGCCCTAATCCAACCTCATCCACACACAGCGCAATTTTGCTTTCTGTTCAGCTCCACTGTGCTGTTTGTTGAAATGGGCCACAGCTCGCTTTCTTTCTATGAAACAAAGAGTCATCTGTGAAAGAGATTTTTAAAAAAGTCAGAGAACATACAATTTTGGCAAAGAGATGGGTGTCAAGACAAAAGGAAATGTAATGTCTGTAATGAAAAGTACTGTATTCATTTAGACATTAATTTGTGCATTATAATGTATTGATTTAAGTTTATGATTTTCACCTAATAAAAAAGCATATTTTATTGTAGCTCAAACAGCAGATCATGGTGCTAGTGATGCCAATGTCATAGGTTTGATTCCCAGGGAAAGCAAGAATTGAGAAAATGTGTAATTTGTAATCAATTTAAGTCACTTTGTATAAAAGCGTCTGCCAAATGCATAAATTAAAATGTTTACATGACCTCAAAGGGATAGTTCACCCAAAAAATTTAATTCTGTCATCATTTACCCACCGTCAAGTCGTTCCAAACCTGCATGAGTTTCCAATTCCCGGTGAGCACAAAAAAATGTATATTGAAGACTGTTGGTAACCAAAGAGTTGATGGTAGCCATTGACTTCCATAGTATGAAAAAGAAATTCTAATGGAAGTCAATGGCTACCGTCAACTGTTTGCTTACCAACAGTCTTCAAAATATCTTCTTTTGTGCTCAACAGCAGAAAGAAATTCGTACAGGTTTGGAACAACTTGAGGGTGAGTAACTGAAGACAGAATCTTCATTTTGGGGTGAACTATCTCTTTAAATGTTATTAAATGGCATAACTGGTGTAGTGTGCTCTGTTAGCCTCTACCCAAGTGAATTACAAGTTATGACCCTGTCGAAAACAGCAATAAGCATCTGAAAGACATTTTTGCATGGTGATTGATAGCATCATAAATCACATTACTGGAATCTTCCTCTAATCTGAATATTCCAGGACTTTTCCCCCATTTTTAACGAGGGTACAGTGTGTATTCTGGGAGGATGAGTGTCTGGCTGATGGTGGTGATTTGTTGGAAGGCTCCATTGTCCCGTGTTAATGATGTCCCTTTGTGAGAGACGGGGATGAGGGCTGAAGACGTTGCCCGTGGTAAGGGAGAGGGCGGCTGAGGGTCTTAGTGTGACTGGCAGCTGGAATAATCCTCCCTTTGTACCCTCTGAGGGGCTCGACGAGTGTGCCCCAGCGCTTCAGACCAGCCAGATGGAATCACAGAGAGCGAGAGCGAGCGAGCGACAGAAAGTATTCAAAGCCACACAAAAGCCTTCAGGCCAGACCACGTTTAGCTTATCTTAGGTTTGGTTTTTGAGTGGCAAGGCGCTTGAAGTCTTTGGTCGCGTATGGCAGCGGCGTAGTCAGCACGGCCGGCCCGAAGCGTGCCAGAGAGCTCTTTGATTGGAGCGTGCCTCTTTGTGGGTTTAACTCGGAAAAGTGGTCTTTAGTAAACCTGCGGTAACTCAGACCATCCAACACACTTTATTTATTTACACTGCAGGCCTCGGAATGATATACAAGTGTGTTTTACAAGAGTTATATAAGAGTTGTTCTCTTTTAGTTCGGTTGACATGGATTCCCTCCAATTGTGTTCGGCTTGGCCATGTGATGTGGTTCTTTCCCAGCAGTCTGTGCATTTACTGCTCGAAAATGTCAAAGACAAGTCTTCGGTGGTTACGCAATGGCAATTGCACATTCTGTTGGCAGTTTCGGGCACCATTACATCTGAGGAATATTTGGGATCATTGTTTGCGCATGGCAAGCAATCTATCTTGATGTTCATGTTTAGATTGCAACTGAAACCCTTAAAACTCCTAAAACATATTATGATCCCCTGAAACCAAAATGTAGATGGCAGCTCTTTGATTTCCAGTGAATGAGCCTCCTCACTCCGAACTTCAAATGAGACATTAAGCAAAGGGATTTGATGTGAAACAAACTCCATTGATCTTCTAGCTTTCTTCTTAATTTTTGACGAAACTGTTGGATTAACACCAAAAAACTTCTCGTAAGCCTTCAAAACAGTCATTAATTCCGGCTCTGTAAATCCAGTTCCTGTGCCCGAATGCTTTTCAATGTGGTGGAATCCCCTCAATTCAAACATAATTTTCCAAAACATTTTGCTACACAAGTCCCTCGCAAGCGAGCTAATCGTTTGCTCAAACAGCAGATGGGAGCGATTATATATTTAGAATCAAACATACAAACAAAACAGCTCAAAATGAACACTAATACTCGCTTTTTATCGAAAATGTGTGGGAAACGTTAACACATCTGTGCATTTGAACAATATCACCAAATCAGACAGAATCTGCCTATTATGTGTACCGCAACAGACTGTCCGAGTCATGAATAGCTGTTTGGGGTATGAATCTATTGCCTGTTGAATAAATTGGCCAGAGAGAAGAAAATAAGGGTTGAGAGATGTCTTGCTTGAGCGTACAAATCCCACTGAAGTGGCAACAGCAGCTTTGAAATGAGACTCATTCTTTGTGAGTGACTGTGTGTGTGTTTTGCACATGTATAATGAAAAGCGGTTAGTGAGTGGACCATATCCTTTGCCCTGAGTGGCTCTGGCTCAGGCTCTCTTAATTTAAAATGGGATTAGGCTTGTGGAAGAACACTACACCCTCCCTCACTAATTGGAGACGGCTAATAGCTGGACTCCTTGAAAACTGAGCCTTTTATCTTGCCAAGCTGAAACGGACTTGAAACATAGAATTACACTATATCCACCCGAGCATCACAGATGATTTTGCTGGCTGAGCTCCTAAGCACTCGGCGTAGCCTCTCGCTGAATTTATTTGAATGCACATTGACTCATGATGATGTCAAAGACCCAGTGGGGCCAATGTGATATCACCAGCACGAAACACAGTTGGCTTTATGGCAAGCAGTTCTCAATTAGTTTGCTTTAGGAGCCGAATTATAACAAAAAAAATGTCCATGATATGAACATGTAATTTTTTTTATATGAACTGCATATGCCCCAGAAAAATATTTCTCAAGGTAATAAGTATTATTACCTGTGTTTTACACCACAAAACATATTGGTGGCCTTAAACCACACATACTGGTTTAAAAAAATAAAAATAAAAATAAAAATAAAAAATAGCCTGAATGCACTGCAAGTCGCTTTGGATAAATGCATCTGCTAAATGCATAAATTATTAAACCATGCAAGAACCTGCATTTAATGTAGACAATGTCATATTTTCTTACACATTGTGGAGGTTTTTGAGGATTAGGCCATGTCATGCATGTTGGCATCTGCTTATGTCACGATGCAGTGTTGAGGAAGCACACGGTGCAAGGATATCCAGATGCGAGTCTTTAATTATCAATCCAAGAGCGTTAAACACAGAAGAACATAGGCATAAAGCACTACAACATAACTTTGAAGCAAGACAAGGGAACTGAGGAAACCACAGGCTTATAAACACAGGGAACATGATTAGGCAGAACTGAAACAGGTGGAGAACTCAATCAAAACAGGTGAACAGAATAAACGATGATTAACTAAATGAGAACAGGAACTGAACCAAATAGGGGCAAACAGGAACTACACAAAAACAAACACGTGACAGCTTAATTTTTATTGCAACTTACCGAATGAAACACCATGCTTAATGGCACAATACATTTCTCCTTAGAATTATTATTAAAATAACAAAAAAAAAAGTACTTAAAATAAGTAAAGAAAATTTTTATAGTGCTATTAGTTTTTCAAGATCAGATTTTTTTGTTGATGATAAAATGGCAGACAGCAACCAAACCTAGATAAATTAAATATAAATTAAATAAAAATATTTTAAAATTATTTAGATTTTTTCTTTTAAATATAATTTTATTTTAATAAACTAAAATAAAGGTAAAAATAGTAATTCATTCAAAAAACATTTTTATTTACATATAATTTTAATTAATTAATTAAATGGAATATATAATATCTTTAAAAAAAAAAAGTTTATGAAAAAAGTTAAATAGATGTCAAATTACTGTTCTTATATGGACTATGTGCTGCCAAAACAGATCGCAGTCAAACCAGTTATAATGATGTAACATGCATCCAGAAGGTGTAATTTATTATTATATTGCAATTCAATTCTTAGACGTACATTTTTGATTATGTTTAGGTTCATCAGCTGAAATTACTCAAATTTCATTTTGATTTCTTCCTATAAACCGAAACAAGTTTAATAAACAAAAGTGAAAGCAAATTAAACGAGATCATAAAAATGTCAAAATGAACTCAACGTTTATTTTCATCAGTATTCTTTGAAGTTCTGTCACAAGTTGCTCTGTCACCATTGGTTATGGATGCTGTCTTTAAATATGGTACTGATTCAACTCATGACAAATCAAAGGCCAGAAAGATCATGGAGAAATCTGCAATATTCCTGCTGATGTTCCCTTTTAAACAGTCCTAGCAGTACAGCTTACATAAAATGTTGCAACCAAACTTTTCTTTTCCAGGGGAGGAAAACTTCTCAAATTCTATGTGAACTGTACAACATCTTTGCAAGTCTCTCCAAGGGCCGAGCACTTCAAAACTCTCCTCATAAGCCTTGTAACAGAACCAAACCAGCCTTAGAAAGCACACACAGAAAAGAGAAAGAGAAAGAGAGGAAAGAAAAAAAGTTCTGGAAGAGCAAAAAAAATCTCTAAGAAACTATAATTGAAAGAAAAGGCCAAAAACTCAGATGAAATAAGTGCACAAGCCTGTTTCCCCCCTTCCTTTCCCTTTTCTTGCAGCTTACTGAAATAAGTCATTTCTTTTTTCCATCTGATTGAATGTAAGACTAAAAGAGGACTAGAGGAAGCGAGACCAGCTTGTGTGTGCCCACTAGCTTTTAGTCCGTAGCCTAATGAGTTCCTAAGGGAAGGAACGCTGTCAGTC